AGTTTTTAAATAAATAAAATAAAATGTATGGATTTTATCGTACGAATATAGTGCTGTGGTTAAATTTTAGCTCGAATTTTAGTAATTATGAATCTCTTAAAACAGGAACTTAACTTTTAATCAAATTATGTATGTTTAAACGCACAAGTACAAAACAAGCTGCAACATATGCTCAAAATGTCCACCACCAGTTTTGATGCATGCACGACACCTTCGAATTCAATTTTCGCGCACTTGCCTGAAAACACCTCAAGAAAAGAAAATATTGGTACGCAAAAAACACTGCGACAATGTCGAATCCAGATACCAACTGAATTGCGTATTGGTGATTGATTAGTACCTCATGTTAATGTACCTCATGTTAATAAACCGCCACGCCGTTGTCACATTGCTCGATATGAATTTTATAGAATTTTAAATTACAACGCTAATTATTTTTTAGAATTAAGCATAAAGAAGTTAAAAAAAGTGATAAACATTGTATTTTATGATATTCTATGCACGCAGTTATGTCAATATTCCTTAATTAATCAAACTTTTGTACAAGTTAGAAATTTTGATCATTTTTTTTTCAGAAATGGTTAAGTTTAGGACCCATATCATATAAGCTTTTTTGTTATTTTAATGTATTCTATCGTCTGTTAAATTTAAGGCAACAAACTTCCAACATCCTGTATATGAGCAAAAAGATTTCCTTCATTCTATTCGGAAAATGAAATATTCATTTCCCAGAAAATTTTCTTTTTTATAATTTTATATAGAAAAAAAAATCTTTAGCTCACAAATTTTAAGCTTTTAAGGACTGTATCACCTCAGATAAATAAAAAAAAATCCCATGCATTTTTTTAAACGAATACTTATTTTAAATTTGTTCAAGAATATAATAAAGTTTAATAAAATATAATTATAAATTAATTTATTTTCATAAAAATTACGTTAGGGACTGTTTAGATCATATTAAATAGATTTAAATGATTTATTTAATTATTTTATATCCTTTGTTACAGATGTCGTACCATGTACAATTTTTGAAACAAAACTGTTCCTTTTTATTTTCTTTTTTGGTATGTGTGGAAAAAACTCTGATAAACTAGTATATTATAGAACCGCCATCATTAGTATAGATTTTTACACATTAAAATTTTAGTTAAAAGTTACGTGATTATAGATATTAATTTATAGAATTACCGCATCACTAGCTAGTGGCTCGTATTAGTATTACATTATCTATCTTTCCTTCCTTCCCTCCATACTAATACGACAACAGTAAAAGTGCACCATTTTCCTGCACTGGTAAGTGACCAAAGCATTTACAAACCTTTAATTCATTTAATACAGTCCACTATAGCAATTTGTCATACATGAACTAAGTAAATCTTAAGTTCTTGTACACCGATTTAGTGAATTTGCTTTTAATTAAGTGACAAGGCATTAAACCCTTTTTTATTTAAACACGTCGCATGAAATAACCTGGAGTTATAACAGACTTAAGTCATTAAAGGTTTCTCTTTATTAAGATAAATGTTTGTAAACATTTATCTTAATTAACATTTACCTGTTGCAATCCAGAAACTGTTGCTACATTGCTTAATGATCTAGTATTCTATAAAAATTGTTAAACAAATCATTTATATTTAGATTATATTAGATTATATTAGATTTTATAGATAGGGAGAAAACAAAATTGAAGTGTAAAACTGTAATAAACATTGGCGCATTCGCCATAATTTCAAATTTATACTTGCATATAATACATCATATTTTTATTGATCACTACCTTCTTTCCGGCAATTTACTTTACACATGAGAACTCATATTTAGTTGAAAATGTTATTAAATATAGTGATATCTCAACCCTCCTTAATCTACAAGAACTAATCTGAAACTTAAAAGCTGTGAAATTTTATATCCGTTTCTGTACCTCAGAGCTAAACTGTATTAACTCCATTTTTTACGAAATTGGGATTATTTGACAGCCCAACACAGTTTCTTATGCTCTTTCACGTGCTAAGCAGTAATAACTCCCACTCGTGATACTTTCGAAGATAGACAGTGCTAAATAATAATAAGTCTCAACCTGTCTCCAAGCTAGACAATCGTATGTGTAATTAATATTAACCGTGTTTCATTTCCACAGTATTAAGTTCCTTGTTACATCAATATAGTCCGAGACAAACAGGTGTATGTGGAGTTAATATTCTATTAGTTTGACTTCGGAGTATTAACTCCACATATATCAAAATCATGTTGGTTTACTTTAGTATTATATCCACATTCATCGTATATTATCGCACAATTAGTAAATATTATAATATAAAATCCCTAAATCATGTTTGTGCCAAATAGTGTTTTCGAAAAAAAAATATACGAATAGAAAATTATTCTTTAAATTACAATAAATAATATTAAAATAGACGCATAACTTCACATCATACAAATTTTTTTTTATCAAGGAGAAGTAAGAGTTCGAAGTTATGGAATGATAAGAAAAATTTAAATCTTTAAATCACTCCTGTAAAATTTCATTTTTGGCACTTAAATACAGTTTAGCTCTGAGGTACAGATTTACATTTTTAGATGCAGTTTCACAACAAGGTTACTATTTTCAAAACTTGTACAGGATGACAAAAAACTCGAATTTGTTTAAAAATTACTATAAAATTATTATTTTACACGAAAAAGTAGCTATGTAACAGCGTCAAGACGTATTAGTACAACGTTGATACATAGAATTTTACAAAAGCACAGCACAGACATCCTTATCACATCCAATTACACCAAGAGTTACTAAAAGTAGACTTTCAGCGGGGACTGGAGTTTTGTCAGTGGGCACTTGAGACGTTAAATCAAAATGATGATTTTTTTAAACGGGTCATGTTCTCCGATGAGCCTACTTTTCATAAAAATGGTTTCGTTAATAGTCATAATTGCCATTATTACGACACAGTAAATCCTCACCAATTCCGGACAACTCATAGCCAACGTGTGGTCTTTGAACGTGTGGGGAGCAATTTTGGGAACCCATGTCATTGGATCAGTCTTTTTTTACCAGCATCTAACTGGAGCAGTTTATTTAAACTTTTTAACAAACACTCTAGTCTAGAAGATTTGTTAGGCGACATTCCTTTAGCTACAATTCGAGGAATATGGATGCAACATGATGGTACTCCACCTCACAATACCGCTGCGGTTCGTCAGTTTTTACACGAAACTTTTCCCAACAGATGGACTGGGCGCGGGGGACCGGTGAGTTGGCCTTCAATGTGTCCAGATATGACAAATTGCGATTTTTTTATGGGGATTTATGAAAAGCAAATTTTACGTGACACTACCGCGGAAGATATGTGGCACTACCGCGGAAGATATGTGGCAGCGTATTATAATAGCATTTCAAGAAATTACGCCAGACATGCTGACCAATGTTGAACATTCTTTTAAAAACCCAATTCTTTGTGTATTAATCAAAATGGCGGATACTTCGAGCAATTGATGTAAATCAGCGGTCTAAGTATTATTCTGCTTGTTGTGTTCCGAGTTTCAGTTTTCAGTTGTTTCGTTTTGCGTTTTGTTTTAGTTGTTGTTAGTGTTTTACTTTTGTTTGTCAAATCACTTTTTAAACATGGCAGTAAATATTGACATTGTCAGTCCCAGGTCTGATAAAATGTGAGAGAAAAGTGGTTTTGCAAGGCCTTCTTGACGCTGTTACATAGCTACTTTTTCGGACTTTAGAAAAGACTGGAAAACTGTTAAAGATAAGTATGGATAACCTTATATCAGTCAGAAAGGCATTCAATTTTGCATTCACCCATGACAATTAATATGGGTCATTAGATTTGAAAAAAAAAGTTTTTTGTCTCGCAAGATTAAATGTAGGTCTCAGTATTTCCGAGTCTGAATAACGTACACGTTTTGTTCACAGATGGCAAGATAAGAGTAATTTATGCCAAAACGAACTCTGAAAATTGCAGGTCTCTAACTCTTACGGTTTAGACGCTATCTAGCCTCATTTAGAGAGACGAAATAGTGATTTTTTTCAAAAACAATTGATTATCTCAAAAACAGTTGTAAACACCATGTAGGTTTAATAAACTCCACCTAATATTAACCAAGGAATTCAAAAACGCAATAATATAGAGGGTGTTCCACTTTAAAATAACAAAGTTATGTAGCACCCACGCGAAAAGGAACAATCTGTAAAGCAAAAAATATTTTCTTCTAATGGTCCACATGATTCCAAGCGACTTTTATTAGAACCATTTTTTTATATATACTTTACACTTACAGAGTTACAGAAGAATCTCTCCTGTATGTATATTTTTTATTACCGACTGAATTACAATATAATAATATGGAATTTTAGGAATTGCTAAGTCCAACGTTAGCTAGACTGGGCCTGGGGCTGAACCTAAAATTGATTTTTTTTTGTTTACTAAGACTTCACTTCACTTTTTTATGTAGGGGACAATTAATTTTCCAGAGGTTCTCAACAAATTTTAAAAAGTTTGATAATTAATCAATTTTAACACAGTTTTGCAGTTTCCACAATTTTGTTTATTGAAAATGCTTATAATTTAAGTATTGTATCTACAATTAAACAATCTTCTGTAAGTTTGTAGTAACACTGTATAGAAAAGAAAGCTAGAATAGATTAGAAATGTGTATCTCAACCTACACTTTGTTCTTAGTTATCTCCCATGTTTTTGAATAGCAAAATACCATAACATCACTGTTGATTAAGCTATGAATAGTTTCAAATATTTCAGTTCGTAGGGCGTTCCTTAAATAATGAATCTCCCAAACTTCTATTGAAAATATAATAAATTATTTTCATAATTCGAAATAAAAAATATATTTTCTCTTGGCAACTTATATTTCTTCTAAGGAACGAAGAAAAAATCACAAACTAAATTATGGTCTACGGAACAGATTGACTCAAATATTTATCTTTAGTTAGTGCCGCTGTTTTGGCTCGTTTATGCAACCAGACTTTGTTGTTTCAGGTGCGGCGGTTCTCTAGTCAGCAGGCGTCACGTTGTAACGGCCGGCCACTGCGTGGCCCGGGCAACCCCCAGACAGGTGCACGTCACCCTAGGCGACTACGTCATCAACTCTGCGGTGGAGCCCCTGCCCGCGTACACCTTCGGGGTGTCCAACATACAGGTTTGGCTATAAAAGTTCCATTTCTCTTTTAATTATACGTTTTGTATTGCTGGCATTGTATTTTAAAATTACTATTAATACGTTACTATTACCGAGAAGCGGTAATATTATTTGTTAAAAAAAAAATAAATTATGAATCCATTTTTCAATCACAAAATTAAAATCCTTTATTTAACTGAAGGATGAAGAAGCTGTCTTGACATAAGGCATATCGACGCGTTACTAAGAAAACATGCTACCTCAAATATAACTTGGAAAACATGCTAGCACATATCTTTAAGAAAAATCATGCTATCTCACATAAAATTAAGTTTGACTAGAAATTTAAGTTGGCTGCATTGATGTTATAAACTTATATAATATATTTTTCAAAAAGTAAGGAATATTTATGTTCAGGTACACTGTTTATTTTATTTTGTTTATTCAACATTTTTCAATTAATTTTGTTAACTTACTGCTATAAACGACAAATTCTAAAAAAATAGTGTATACCTTAATATATAAAAATGTATTATTATTAAAGATTATTAGATTTTGCTTTGATATAAAAATTAATAGCGCACTCTTATCTGATTTATAGTACTGCCCCACTAAACATTTTTCAGTTTCTGACATGTTTCAGAAACGTTTCCATTTTTCTTGAAACGTTTCAAAAAATTGGTTTCAGTAACATTCTTTTTATGTTCCATTTATGCCCTCGATATTTTTGTTTTACGTTTCAGTATATTTTCAGAAATGTTTGAGTAACATAATAATTTTATTACCATATTGTTCTCATAATGCTCTCAACTTTAGATCATTTTCATTTCAAAAGCGTTTTTGAAATAGTATAAATAGTGTGAGTATTTTTATAAATATCTCTAATACTCCTTTGTGATATTTTTATTTGTATTGTGAATGACTTAATTCGAACTAAAAAGTTACATTGTATATTAAAAAAAATAAATATGCTCTTCTAGCTTGGGGATGAGGCAACTTTTACTAAGAATTTCTTTCTTTTTGAGAAGCCACCGAAAAAAGTTTCTAATATGGATTATGAATTTTGCCATTCATCGTACAAATAAAAATATCACAAAACAATATCAGAAGCATTAAAAAAAAGCTACACATTTTATATAGTTCAAATACGCTTCTGAAATGGAAATTTTCTAATGTTGAGACCTTCATGAATATGGTAACAATGACGAACTGATAATTAGAAAAAGTTAGTTATGATTATGAATCTTAAAATGGTAGGTACATGAAAAACAAATAACATTACTGAAAAATAATATAAAGTTATAATTTCTTCTACGCATGGTCAATATTACATATATCCTTTTAATAATAATAAATTATACAGCAGAAATAAGGATACAAAATGATATATTGACAAAGTAAATATCTGTAGGTATACCTAAACTCTTTTATTTAAGCATGCCTATACACATAAACAAATATAAACATTTGTACAAAATATAAAATAAATGACGTCTATTTCACTTGATTCATCCATATTTCAAATAGTTCTCACTGACTAAGTAGTTGCTCTTCAAATTATATCGAAACGTATGTTGTTGTTCCATTTTCTTAGTTCTAGTCCCTTGTCCTCTTGTCTGTAATAGTAGTGGGTATAACTATATTTAGGTAGATGTGACGCAAAATTGGAAATCTCTACACATATCGTTTTAAACATTTTGCATCAATATTCATTATTTTATATGCACCTTACAATAACCACAACTGCACACACTACAAATTATCACATAAAATAGCGTCAAAGTAAAGATGAATAACAACGAAACCAAGCAAACTGACAAACCGCAAACCTAACCTAACATAATACGAATTGAAACGACACACGGGAAACAAATAAACTCGGGCTGTTACGCGCAGTCTACGCAAGTCACGAACATACGTTTTTTCTAGACTTGTGTTATAAATATGCTACCACATTTTTTTTTCTAATTATGTCTTTATATAACAAAGGCAAATGAACTAACGCTTGAGAAGGATTGGGGATTGAGAGCAAAATTTAGGGTTGTTCGTCTGTTATGTTTCCGAGATCGAAAGGGAATGTTTCGAGTAATGTTTCAAACTCTCTTCAATTGTAACGTTTCGGCTATGTTTCACTAAATAAGTTTTCAAGTGCTATATTTCTGTAATGAAACAGAATCGTTTCTAGTTAATGTTTCAAATGTTCAGTAAAACATCTCATTTGCAACGTTTCATTTACGTTTCGTGTTTAGTGGGACTCTTGGCACACTTTTATTTTCACAAAATCTGGGAGCACAATTTATTCTGAAAATAATTGTATGTGCCTAATGCGGACTCTAAGCAGACTGCAATAAAAAGGATTATATAGTGGACCAGGCTAGGCTCCAAACTCCGGGTCCGAATCGTTCTTACTGCACGTCAATAGAAACAAATGGCTTCTTAAAGGTACGGTAGCCGCGTGCTTGCACATACTTTGGAAATGAAATGCAACTATGCAACACTTTTATTACCGGTACTTTATGATCTGCTGGATATCGATGCGACGGGCGCAGAGCAGATGATATGCACGTGCACGTTTCCGAGGTTCCCCATGCATACATGTTTATCGTACATATCATTCAACTTTATTATATTTATATTCTGGTTATTATGTTAACTCTATTAGGTAATGCAATTTGATTAATAAATGATGTTTTTCTACAAATTGTTGCGTCTTGTTCTTATTTGAAAATTAACGAATGTCAAAACCGTATTTCATAAAAAAAGCTGAAAATTTTTTGATATTTTTAATTATGCATTTATAAATACAGAGCTGTGTAAAAATCAAGACTTTCCAAGACAATCCAGGTATAGATGCTCTACATGGGCATACTGTTCAGGTAAGAATGATTCGGACCCGGGATTTGGAACCTAGCCTGGCCATTATAATCTTTTTTATCCTTTTTATTGCAGTATCTTTGGAGTCCGCGTTAAGGCATATAAAAATATTTTTAGAATAAAAGGAGTAGTGACTATAAATCAGATAAGATTGGCCTATTAGATTTTGTATTAAAGCAAACTTGTATGAAAGAAATCGAATAATTTTTAGTAATAATAAACATGTTTATATTTTAAGGTATACACTATTCTTTAATAATTTTTTATTTCAAAAAACGTCGAGAAATGTACGTGTTGCAGCATACTCCATATTATTCTATTTTTTTAATTTACAATTTTCTCGTTTATAACAGTAACTTAACAAAATTAATTGAAAAATGTTGAATGAAACAGATAAAATAAACAGTGTACTTGAACATAAATATTCCTTACTTTTTGAAAAATATATTACAGAAGCTTATTATGTGCACGGTTTCATTCAATGTGCATTTCAATGCCAATGCAGCCAACTTAAATTTCTAGTCATATTTAATTTTGTGTGAGATAGCATGTTTTTTCTTAAAGATAGCATGTTTTCCAAGCTTAATTTTATGTTTTCCCAGCTCAATCTGAGGTAGCGTGTTTTCCACACAAAATTTTAGGTAGGTAGCATCTATTCCAAGTACAATTTTAGGTAGCATGTTTTCCAAGCTAAATTTGAGATTGCATGTTTTCATAGTAACGTGTCGATATTCGCTTCCGAACTTTCTGTGTAATGTCCACCCAGGAAATAATGCAAATAATGGTATTTTTCCGGAATTTTGATCCTTGACTACCATCTAGTATTTTAGTATTCTAATGTCCTGAACATCTACATAAGCTAAAGCTTGTAGACAGTCCGGTCTGCCGAGGATGTGAATCGGCGGATGAAACTTCTCTGCATATCCTGGGCGAGTGCCCGGGATTTGCACGTAGCAGAATGGCGCTCCTTGGGAGACCCTATTTGGAACCCAAGGAGCTGAGAGAAGTGTCAGCAAGGAAGCTTTTGGACTTTGTAAAAAGGACAAATCTACTTGCTGAATAGGACTAGTAGTGGGACGCACAATAGGCCTAATTAGGCCGCAGTGCTATGGGACTTTT